CCTGCCTCTCTCCTGTCCAGTAAGCTGGGAGCTCTATGGGCAGGGACCTTACTCTCAGCTTGGCTGTGTTCCAAGCTGTGAGCGGAGGCACCATAATCACATCACCTTTCATGCAACAAAACCCACTTCCCTAGGTTGTTGACTATCAGAGGAGCAATGTCAGAGAGAGTTCAAGGATAAGTAAAGTGCCTTATACCAGTATAGAGCAGGGAGAATTAGGATTGTCGTTGTCATCAAGAGCCAGGACAGGAGTCTCACAGTGTACCATAAAGTGACAATGATAGGGAAGGGCAAGGGTGGGTGCCAATTCTGTCGTCTGTCTCCTCCAGCGGGACCTCCATCTCACCCAGGGCCCAGGAGGGCTTGAGAGAGTGATGGGCTGATGCAGGGTCTCAGAAGGGGCCTGTTATTGCTCACCCAGAGCTCCAGCTGCTCAAGCAGCCAGATTTTGTGTCCTGAGGCCCATGTCCTCAGGTCACAGCTGGTTGTCATTAGAGACCCGTGGAAAAATAAGTAGGACCAACAGGATCCTTGCATCCAAAAATCTAAGCTACGCTGTGCAGAGAGGGGCTGCAGCGAGGGTGTGTGGATTGAATGCGGTCCTTTGGGAGCATCTCTGAGCAAAGGCAGCCAGCAGGGAAAGGAGGAGGGAGCAGGCGGGGGCAGGGAAAGTCATCATATGGTATCCAGTGGTTATCATGGCACTGTTCTAGGCTCTGTGTTTTTCTCACTTAATCATCAGGACAGTCCACAAGGCAGACACTATGCCAGGATTATTCTTTACAGATGAGGCGATAGGCAAAGAGGGTTGGTGACTTCTCAAGGGCATGGGGCCAGTCAGGGGTACAGCTGGGCCTTCGAGCTCACTCTGGGTACTGACTCCATCACCAAAAACAGATATGTAGCTGCTTTGGCCCCAGATCTGTGCCCTGCAGTCCCTGCCTTAGGGCTCCAGGGAACCCCCCTTATCTCTTTTCTTTTGCAGTGGGGCCTCTGCTTTTTTTGCAACTGAAAGCTTGATGAAAACTCCAAGGAATTTCTGGCATGGGATACTTTCCCAGTAGGACCTCCCTAACTTCCAGAACCCAAGTCGGCACCATGTGGGTTGGTCTGACACGTCACTGATGCTTGAGGCTCTCTGACTGTGGGTTGTCATCAGAAGCTGGCAGCATGGGCTGGGGGAGATTTGTTTAGCTGGATGCTTCCGAAGCAAGGCCAAGAAATATTTGCACAGTGACAACATCTGAGAGCTCCAGTAGTGTAGGGGGTGTGTCTATTAACAATGAGCACTTTGGTACCAGAAAGAAGTCTGGGTGGTGGTGGCTGAAATTCCATTCATACTTGTGCCTGCAGATAAACACTGTTAACACTACACAGCTGTGGGCTGGAGGTTCATGCGGGTGATGGTGAGACCTTGAGTCTTATCCCAGAATTCCAGCCCTTGTTCTGGTGTGATGGGTTGGACACAAGGCTGGCTCCTCCCTCTCCAGGAATGGCTCAAGTGTGAATGAGGGGTCTGTGGACCTGTAACTGGAGGTCAGGGAATGCCTGGCTTCCCACCACTGCCTGACTTTCCAACATCTGACCAAAAAAGCCTTCCTCAGGGCCGGGAAACCCTCCCCTCCCCACCCCTCTCCAGATTCCTACCATTCTGTTCCTGGTAGGACTAGCTTTTCTAGACCTTTCTGCCAGGCAGACAAGTGACACCATCTGTGGCCTAGATGAAAAGGGAAAGTGTTAGCTGCTCAGTCGTGTCCAACTCTTTGTGATGCCATGGACTGTAGCCCATTAGGCTCCTCTGTCCATAGAATTCTCTGTGCAAGAATAATGGAGTGGACAGCCATTCCCTTCTCCAGGGGATCTTCCCGACCCAGGGATTGAACCTGGGTCTCCCACATTGCCGGCAGATTCTTTACTGTCTGAGCCCCACTAGGGAAGCCCACTCTGTGGCCTATAGCAGGCTTTAGTTCTCACCCAGGGGGCCTGAGCTGGGGGTGAGGCTGTGAGACAAGTAATTTAATACTAATTGTTAAACTACTAAAGATTAAAGGTGGTTGTTTTTTTTTTTTTAAATAATATTGGTTTTTATTTATTTCTTTGACTGTGTTGGGTCTTAGTTGCAGCATGTGGGATCTACTTCCCTGACCAGGGATCAAACCCCGGGCCCCCTGCATTGGGAGCATGGAGCCTTAGCCACTGGACCACCAGGGACGTCCCTTAAAGGTGTTTTCTAAGAAGTGCCAGAGGGAAATCGAAGCTGGGCACCCAGCAGCTCCCAGAAGGGCCCTTCCTCACCAGAATAGCAAAACCGTGACCCAACCACAGGGCTGAGGGTCGGGGTGGAGGAGGCCAGGGTGCTGAGTGGGCAGCTCTGTCTAGGCCAGCCCCGAGAGCCAGGGGGAAGCCTTAGGGCAGTGTCTTCAAACTGGATGGGTACAGCCTTGGGTGTCTTACCAGATAATCCCTTGGGGCGCACTAAGAAAGCAGGGCTTCTGTGTAAATTGTCGGCATCCTTTCATGCACATTTTATAACAGGCATGGTGTATCACGTGCAGCATAACATCTATTAGAGAAGAGAACCTGTCTGGACTTCTCAGAGCAGGTGGCTGACCTGGGTGTGGGCTGGATCCTAAGCGCACGCCCCTGCCTCCCCTGGGCTCTCCCCCAGGTGCTATAGGCGCTCCTGGCCGTGCTCTCAGGGCAGTCTCTCCTGTTCAGGTGGCAAGTCCAGCCCTGGCTTCTCTCAGCCCACCTGAGGGGCAGGTGGCAGGCCAGAACAAGGCCCACTCCAGCCAGCCCTGCCGGGACCCCTCTGCCTTCTCCCACCCACTGCACCTCCCCAAGGCCCCCATCACAACCTCCTCAGTGGGCCCCTCCCTGGCCTCCTCTCCACGGCTCACTCAAGGCCAGGGGTAACTGGTGGATAAATGAACATGAACACACTGCTTCACACAAACCAGCCTTCCCATCATGGGACTCTTTATTCAAGACCTTTGAGCTGTCAGCAACTTGCCCGGCCCTCTGAGGCCTCCCATCAGGAATGCTTCAAGTCAAAATACAGGTGTTGCTTTTTCCTTTCCCATTACCACGGACTCACTACCCACCTCTCTGGGCATTCCAATGAGAACCAATAGCATCTGCTTTTTCGTGTTGAATTTTTTCCCAACAGAATTTCAGAATAAAAATAGATCTCTATCATATATATATATATATGTATATATATATATATTTATACACATACATACACACACAGAGATCCTTCACCCAGGTGGGAGAAGGATCTGGTGTCCTTACAGTGTCTCCTGGCCCGGCACGGGAAGGCAAGGAGGTATAGGCTGGCCCTGGTAGCACCTAGGGTGTGTGCAATGCTGAGCCCTGGCCGGGAGGTTGGGGAGGGGGGTGTCCTCCAACAGCTCCTCCCCTCCAAGGAACAGACCCGGCTCTGACAAACCCGGGCAGCTCTTGCCCAACCCTTCCACACACCTTCAAGTGAGGAATGTACCAGATGGAGCTTTAAAAACAACTCAAGGTGCAGATAAGGAATTCCCTGATGGGCCTGTGGAGGCTGACTTCCTGGGGAAAATTCCAAGAGCACTGTGCAGCAGGGCTAGGGAAGCCAGCAGGGAAGACCCCCCACCCTCCAGCAACCGCCCCCCCCCCCCTCCTAGGACCCCTGTAGACAAGGGTGTCACGTACACAGAGGCCAGCCCTACTGGAGAGGAGGGGCCGGCTCCTCCTGGGGTCTCTAGTCACCTTCCTTGTTTGGCCCCAGGAAGGGGAAACCAAATGGCTAGGGCAGAACTTGAGTCATCCAAGAATGGGATGTGGTCAGTGAAAGGTGTTGAGGCCAGTCTCCGCATCATGCCCCCTAGAGGCGTCTACATTGTGCCCATTGCCCAGAAAGGTAAGGCGAGAAGGGACGAGGTGCTGATGCAAGGTATTCAGGAAGGGCTGAGCCCAGCAGCCAATGTGTGTCCCTTTGGGGCTGTAGCCCAGGGCCTAGGGAGGCAGCCGAGGCGTGCTTCCGGAGAGGTGGCGTGGGCAGAAACGGAAGGTTGGTTAGGGCCAGAGCCCAGTGCCCCCGGCCAGACAGCAGAGGCCTTAAAGGCACTTGGCCACAGAGGGGACAAGCATAATGAGGCCCGACAGCCTCATCAGACAAAGGGCTAGGCCAGGCCCTCCCCACTAACTTAAACCTGGGAAAGGCCCCAGAGGCCCATCCTCTTCCCACTTGCCAGAAAACCCTATAGCAGTGACTGCTCTGGAGGTGACCTGAGAGTGGGGAGTGAGACCAGGGCCAGGGAGCTCCCTCAGGCACAGAGGCCTGGGGGGCAGGGATGTACAGCCGGGGGGCTCCCCCACTAGCTCTCTCAGGGAACCGGTCCAGTCACCATGCCTCTCAGTCACGCACGTTCAAGCAGACGGTCTCCCAAGGGGCGGAGGAAGGAACCCCGAACTCTCTCGGCCCAGCCAAAGGGCAACTTGGTGGGGCTCACCTTTGGTGTTTGGGAGCAGAGAGCTGAGGTTTGAGACCAAAGCTTGTGCAGAGCTGGGAAACACAGGGTTAGGGATGCTGAAGCCAGGTGCAGTACAGGGGCTTCCGGACAGGTGCAGGGGGCACGCGAGCCTCACACCCCGACTGCACACCTAGACGATACACTGGTACCCTGGGGAGTGGCCCCGTTGATGCGGCCTGCCAGCTGCTTCCTTGCTCACAGACACCATGATGTCTGAGTCCCAACGAACATGGGATTTGTTTCTGATGCAAATCTGGTCCACCCTGCTCCAGAGGAGCAGCTCTCAGTCCTCGCTGGTCCCGGAGGGAGAGCAGGGTCAGGTGGGGGAGGCGAGGAGAACCAGGGTTGCAGCCGGCAGACGTGTTCCCTAGAGATGTATTTCCCTGAGGCCCTGGACCCCCCTGACCATGCTCCCTACTCCTCGCCTGCACGTGCCTGCCGCCCCCCAGGCTGCTCCCTCTGTGCCCAGGGTGGTGGGCAGTGTCAGAGCTCTCTGGGGATGATGGAGAAGGGCAGCACAGGGCTGCTGGCCTCCAGCTCGAGGGCGGTGAGAAAGCAGTCAGCAGCGGCCTCGCTCTGGCCCTGGGCTTGCAGCACCTCGCCCAGGCCTTGCCACGCCTCGTGGCATGTGCTCTGCCTCTCCACGGCGTCCCGCAGCACCTTATGGGCCAGGCTCTGATGGCCCAGCCGACTCAGCATGAGACCCTGGGGAGCAAGCACAGGGTGTGGTGCATGAGGCTGTGCTGGCGGAGGGGCAAGCATCCTGCCTGTCAGGGTAAGGAGCACAAGTGGCTCAGCCACAAGCTATAGAGAGACCTGCATTCCAGGCTTGGATACTATCAAGGGCCCCTGACCTGCAGACACTCCCTGTGTCAGACCCAGCCTGGCCTCCCAGGCCACCCATTAGGGCAGCTCTGTCCCTCCTGGTCCCAGGGGATGGCCTTTAAGGTCAGCAGGCCTGGCTGTGAGTCTCCCCTTTAACAGCTGAGGGCTCCCAAGCAGGTCGCCCTCATCAGTAAATGGGAAAGACCATGGTGCCCACTTCTGGGGTTGCTGTGAAGTTGACACCACAGTGTAGGCAAAGCACTTGAACAGCGCTGGCATATGTGAGCTCTCAGTCCATAGGTCTGTTACCCTGAGACCCCAAGCCGCACCATGGTGCTGCCTTCTCCCCAGGGACACGTGAGACCGAGGCATGTGAGGTCCTCAAGCCTGCGGTGGATGGACGGGTCCTGTTGCTGCTATCAGGGGCCTGTCTTCCTGGGACCCAAGCCCGTCTCTGCCTGGCCTGGCAGGTGAGGGCCCCAGATGGCTGGGGATCAGGGACAGATGCTGGGTGAAAGGAGGGCCTCTGAGAAGAGGTCACGGCTGCCTGGGAAGCTTGGCCCTGCTGTTTGGCTTCAAGCACCAGAGAGAGAGAGAGAGGAAGTGACGGGAATTGTCACACAAGAGCTAGGAAGTGAAACTGGCACACTATCCCCTCTCCATCCACCCGCACCGGGAAGGGTGTGGGAGGTGGGGGGACAGGGTGGTGAGCAGGGGGAGGCCAGGGTCCCCTTTCAACCTGCAGCCTCAGAAAGACCGCTCTGCACCACGCCACCAACCTGTGTCCCAGCCCTCAAAGGTGGCACAGGGGAGCAGCGCAGGGGCCAGCCTCTCATTCAAAGTTGTGAGGCGAAGCCCGAACACTGACTTCCCGGGCAGCCGGGGACCAGGGGCTGCCTTCTGTGTGCCTGGAGCCCCTTCTCGGGTGCCCGCCCACTGACGGCCACGTACATTTTTAGCTGGAACATTTTCCTCCTCGCCGCACTCTCCAGGGTTAGGCCCTCTGTTGCTATGGAGACCCACTGGGGAAGATGCACATGCCTCATTTCATAAAGTCCTCCGAGGGCTTGGAACACAACCACTTAGGCAAGAGTGAAAGATGGTGCTCAGGAAGCCCTCAGAAAAGCCTGTCAGAGGCGCTGGATGGAAGTCGGGTGTCCAGGGGGCCAGAGGGAAGGGGAACACTTCAACCCAGGGCAGCGCTGTCCCCAGGGGACCACAGGGATGGGGGAGGACGGGGGTCCCAGGCACAGGATGGAGCCTTAGCGGAGCCCTTGGATTTGGACAGATAGGAGCAGTGCTGACTCAGGGCTGCCTGAGACCAGAGAGCAGGGCTCAGCATGTCCAGCAGGGCTCTGGGCCAAGCTGCTCTGACCACATGGCCTTGGGATCTGGACCCCGAGCTGTGCATGATGGAACAGGGCCCACAGGGAGGAGGGCAGGAAGGCAAGACGACAGGCCGCCAGACGCCAAAATTAAGCACCAAAAATGGAAGGTTTGAGCGCTGGGAGTGCGGTGCACGGGGAGCAACAGAGGACAGATGGGGAAGGCCAGTGGGCCGCCTGGGGCGGAGGCGGGGCCGCAGCGGCGTTTACACACACGTTTTCTATGTCCAGCTTCCATGGGAGACTTCTGTCTGAAAAGAGGGCTCTCTGGTGGAAAATGAGTTTGAAAACCTCTGATCTCAACAACTGTGCAGGTGTCTGGGAAGGGCTGCACGGGGTGTCGTGCCGGTTTCACTCATGGTTCAGGAGCTTGGGGCCGGCTCCTCTGTGTAGAGGGGGACACACAGGGCTCAGAGCCGGAAGACCTGGCTGGGTCGGAATCGAGCCCTGCCCCTGCCGGGGGCTGTGACCATAGGCAAGTGGCCCATTTTCTCTGAGCCGCTGTTTCCTTGTCTGGAAACCAGCGGACAGAGCACAGTCCTACCTCACAGGCTATTGTGAGGATTCTGCAAGAATGAATGCGAAATCGTGAGCGGGCTGCATGGTGGGCCAACAGCAAATGGAAGTGTCCCCAGGATGAACAGAGGGGCCTGGGCTGGGGGGAGGCAGGGAGGGTGCAGAGAGTGGGTTTCTCTGGAGGGCCAGGCTTCCCATGGAGGAGACTGTGGGCTGGGGTGGGGTTGGGTCACCTCCCCCCACCCCGGGGTGCTGACCTGAGAGCCGGAAAGGAGACACCGGGTCAGATGGGTGGGGTTGGATCACCTCCCCCCACCCTGGGGTGCTGACCTGGGAGCCTGAAAGGAGACACCGGGGTCAGGCTGGGCCCCGGAGGCCCAGGGCCTGTAACAAGATCTGCTGCCACCTGCCCGAGACACCAGCCCGTCGGGTTCATGTTTGGTAGCAACTCGGCGCTGTTTGCTGCCTGACAACTGGGCGGGGCCCTGCTCTGCGAGGGTGCGAGGTCTCACCTGCTCTGCCCTGAGCCTGGCACTGTGCCCAGGGCCCGCCGTCAGCCACCCTCTCAGCACCCGCATCCCCAGGTCTCCAGGGAGGTGGTGGGAACACAGATCCGGTATTTCAATTCCATCCAGATGCCCCTCCTGACTCCGCCCCATCCTGCGCTGAGAGGGCAAGACCAGACCACTGAGTGGCTCTCAGCCTGACGCCTGACCTGGCAAATGCCACAGCTGTGCCCACACAGGGATTAGAACAAAGTGCAAGTTGCTGAATGTGGTGGAGCTCAGGGAGGGGCAGGGCTGTGGGGCGGCGGGGTGGGTAGTGGGGGGGAGTCCCCAGAAATTCCCGAGATCATCCATTCCCTCTTCCCTCCCTCCCTCCCTGGATGTCAGGGAGGAGGGGGCCTCTGGCCACGTCTCATCTACCTGCTGCTCCTCCAGGAAGTCCTCCCCAAGAATGGCACCCTCGGCTCACACCACCACCTTGCCACCGTGCTCCTTACTGTGGGCTCTTGAATGCCACCCCTGACCCACCCCTCTTAGACTGAAAGAGACAGGGTCCTGCCCTGCCATTTCCCACAGGACAGCAGCTCAAGAGAGTGTTGGCAGGAGGATGGTCCTGGATGCAAAAGCAGGCGCACTGGAGGCCTGTATGTATACTCAGTGACCTGCTTAGGGCCACACAGGCTGGCGGGGTCTGGTCTCAGGAGTGCATGGCGGCTCTGAAGGGCCCCTCCCTGTTACGAATACAGGGCACAGGGCGGGGTCAGGAGCTGCAGCCTGGGGTGGGGATGAGAGGGAGGGAGGGTCCTGCCGGCCTTTGTCAGAACTGCCACTGCACGCGCGTCACCCTGTTAATTCAGTGCCTGTCCCCAGAGTGAGGGCAGGCAGCGGGAAGGTCTGGCTTTGTGGGGGAGGTGGTCCTGGGAAGCAACCCCAGGGCTAGGCCAGCTGCAGGCCAGGCCCAGCGCTCCCTCCCCATCCCTCCCCTCAAGTATTTATAGAAGTTATTTTGGGAATTTTCTTTCTGAGCTCAAGGCGCATTCCTGGGATTCTGTCACAGCCTTTCCAGCTGGGAAGCCGGGCATCAGCTGGAGGCTGCTGGAGCCTCCTGGTCCCTGGAGCCTCCGGTTGGGGACCCTGGGGCTGCAGGAAGGAGTCCCGGGCAGGACCAGCTCTGAGGGAGCTCCAGGAAGGCTCCTTCCATCATCCCCGAGTTGAAGTGGGGGCTGACACACCCCTCAGGGAGGCCCACATTCCAGCCAAGCCCAGGCCCTCTCCCGCACTCCAAATTCTTCCCACTGTGTCAGCCTCAACCTGTCCAACCAGACTGGGAATGAGGAATCTGTCCTGGCTGAGAACCTAGCCCACACGTGGCCACATCCCGCCTGGAGCTGGGCAGCTCCCGGGCCACAGGAGGCCCACCTACCTCCCCGCTGTGGGGAAGGACACGACTCCTTCCAGACCCACCTGAGGCCTGGCTGATGAGCCCGGCCCAGAGCTCCCATGGCTCTCACAGGAAGAGGCCCCCGCTGAGAGAGCGAGCCCCCAGACTCCCTCAGAGCCCAGCTGTGTGTGGGGGGGGGGCACGGGAGGGGGTCTTCCGGGGCAGCAGAGGTGGCTGTGCTCTTCACGCCTATCCCTTGCCAGTCCCAGTTCAAGGCAGGGGGCTGGACCTTTTTGGGTTGGTTTCAGGTTCTGGGCTGGCTGGGGGCTCTGCCCACCCCGGAGCACAGCCAGGCCTGTAGGGCCAGGTCAGGAGGCTACAGCAAGGCCTCCAGACTTTGGGTTCCAGATGTGAACACTGTGATGGGCAGTGATGGCAAATGCTGCCCTCTGAGCAGAAGGCAGAGCTTGAGGGGCTGGCAACAGCCTGTTTTGGGGTGTGCTGGCCTTTGTACAAGGGGAGGGGGCTGAGCCCTGCTGAACCCTCCAGGCGTGTAAGTCTTTCCCCTGACCACTGATTCTGGGGTTAAAGTAAGCCAACAATGCCTACCCATGGCTCTGCGCTGAGTCTGTGACACTGACAGAAGGCTTCCTGTCCACTTCCTCATCAGGGTTGGTGTGGACTTCAGAAGTCCACACACGGACCTAAGGTCTGCCTGCAAAGTCCTGGGCTGCAGGCAAGAGGACATGCCTCCACCTTCATCAGCCTGGGGCAAGGGTTCAGACTGTGTGCTGGGCTGCGCCAGCGTGGGCATAGGGGGGCTGGGGAGGGGCCGCTGGACACAGGAGGCCCAGGCTGAGGGGACACACCCTGCCCCTCTCATCCCCTCCTCCCTTCTCCTCCACTTCCCATCAGGGAATGCAGACCTCAGGCAGCCCTGGGGAGGGGCCAGGAAGAGAACTCACAATAAAACTACTGCACCAGGGGGTCAGACATTCCTACTGAATTTTCCTGTCAAACAGAGGCAATATTCCTGCCCACTAGAGCTGGGGGAAAGCTCAGATTCTGCCGATGAGGGGCTGTGTATGCAAC